ATTTCCTTGTAAAATTCAACTTCATCATCCGTGTGGCTATACTTTGCGGTTTGCGGTAACCGCAAGTTTTGAAAATCAAATACCGCAACCGCAACCGCAAATGCGGTTCGGTTCTTAATACCGCAAATGCGGTTCGGTTTACCGCGATTGCGGTTTCATTGCGGTAAATTGTCGGTTGGTTTTTGCGATTTTTCGGTTTAAAATGCCACCCCTAATATTTTGAACATGTTGGACTGTTAGAATTTTACTGCACTAAAATTTCATGTCACTTGAGTAAAAATTCTTGTCACATGCATGCCGATTGATGAAAATGCCAAATGAAAAAAAAAAATATATATATATATATATATATTTTAAACTAATCTAACGTCCAGTGAAACACATTGTTGGTTCTTGCATTGGATCACAAATTGTTAGACAAACCCATCTTCATTATATTATAAGCATGTGAAATTAAAAAACTACACCCATTTCATGTCACTTAAATTAAAGATTTTGCCATATGCCCGTGAAAAGAAATGAAAATTTAAAACTTAGCTCACTCGTGGTCAATGAAAGGACATCATTTTTCTCTTTATCTTATGCTAGAACTAAGTTACATAACCACCAACAGCAATATCAAACTCAGTTATTCAAATTATACTTAGTGAAAAGAAATAATAGACTACTAGGAAAAGCATAAATGAAATAACCATGATAACAACAAGCGAAAGGGAAAGAAATAAAGGACGCAAATTTTGTTCAAGATAAGGTAAGAAAGTGAAAAATGAGGGTGATTACCAGACAACCTCTCGACTTGTCCAAGACAAGGTAAGCACTGGCTTTTGCACTGAATATAAAGCACCTTTTTATTTCCCAGATATCAATTGTTTTGGTAATTACATTGTTCGTCAGATTTCTTTACTTTCAGACACAATTAATGTCTTCAACAAATTTGTTGCAGTACAAAGATGAAGTTCGTATGTGTCACGTTCGAATTTAATGTCTCACGAGATTAGTAGAGAGATAAGAAGATTCATGACCATTTTGGTTACAGATGCAGGCAGTGATTCAACTGAAGTTGAGGAAACCTGATTGGGATCCGGTGGTTTACATACGTTCTGACAGAGGGCTGGATGACTCATTGTGGTTGAGTAAGTCACCATAGGGCCTGCATTTGAAATTTTCAGTCTTGCCGAATCAGGCAAGGGATCTATATTTGCAGACTGACCCTTATTTTGTGAAATATGCAGAATTGCTTACAGCTGAGAGGAATACCTTGACTCGCTTTGGAATAGCAGAGACAAATCTTAAAGCTACACTGGAACCATCACGTCCCGTCATCGATAATAATGTTTCTTTAAAAATAGTGTAGCCGAACGGCTAGACTCTGTGTTATTAATGTTTCTTTAAAAAATAGTAACGCCGCTCGGCTGTACCTATTTGACACGTTGGCCCCTAATGTTAGGGGCTTTCAATAAATAGTATAGCCGTGCGGCGATACTTAGTTTGATTAATGTTTCAAAAAATAGTATCACCGAGCGGCTATACGTATTTTGAGCTGAGTGTGGTCTTAGTATAGGCGGGCGGTTGTACTCTGTTTCTCTAAAAAGAGTCTAGCCGGTTGGCTATACTTGGTTTTTATTTAAAAAAAACAAATAGTATAGCCGTACGGCTATACGGCTGTTGACACGTGACCACCTAAACGCTATTCGGGTCGCCTTTTTTTTTATTCATAAATAATATAGCCGTGCGGCTAGACTAGGTCCTTATTTTTTCAGACAAATCGTATAGCCGGGCGGCTATACGCGGTTCGATTAATGTTTCAAAAAATAGTATAGCCGCTCGGCTATACGGATTTTGAGCTGAGTGTTTTCTTAGTATAGCCGGTGGGCAATACTTGGTTTTTTTTTTTTTTTACAAATTGTATAGCCGTACGGCTATACAGCTTTTGACACGTGACCGCCTAAATGTTATTCGGGTCCTCCTTTTTTTTAAAAATAGTATAGCCGAACGGCTATACTGAGTTTTTTTAATGTTTTTAAGAATACTATAGCGCGATATTGTGTTTTTATTTTTAAAAAATCGTATAGCAGCACGGCTACACGGCTTTTGACACGTGGTCACCTAAAGGCTACTGGGGTCTCTTTTTTTTGTATAGTATACAGGGTTTTGATGATTTTTTTCCAAAGATTGTATAGCCGCTCAGCTAGACCCGGCTAGATATACTGGAATCAGCACGTCCCGTCATCGTCAACAACCTAGCAGAGTTGAATGTGCTAATATCTACGATGCGAGAGCAAGGCTGGAACCTGAAAGCCCGCAGAGTCAGATTTGCTGCTGGTATGGATGACAAGCTGCAGATGAGGCTTGAGAAGGTGGCCATGGAAGCTCTGCTTGTTGTTTGAACATTAAGGAATTGTTTCAGAGATGTTCTACAAACTGGTTGGATTTGGAACATAATAGCATGCCGAAATAGATGGCACCTCTTGTGTGTTTGCTTTTCTGTTCTTGATAAGCCTTTTATATAGTTATCTGATAAGCTGCAACTTTTCATGCTTCTCATCTTATTAAATTGCCTTTTAGTTACACTCGTCATCTCTTCTCTATTTATCTAGTTTTTGTGTTTGTCACTTCCCATATCAAATACTTGGTAACACATCTATTGATTAATTTAATAGAATCATGAGAATTACACACGTATAAATTTTCATATCTCCTTCATCTATCACCTCACCTCACAAATTATTAATGTGTGCGACACATTAATGTGTCATTAATTATTTTTATTTATTTTGGCTAAGATTCACATTTCTCTGTTTCCTTCAGCAAGTTAGATGTCCATATATAAGCTCTAATACTTTCAAAATGTAGACATTCCCAAATTACACCATAGCTTTTGTCTTATTTGTGCTAATACTTTTCTTAAAACCCTAAGGGCCCCGTTTGATGCACAGAATGAGTTTCTTGCTAATGAAATTCTCATGTTTAATCGCACAAGATGGAAATGGAATATGTTCATTCTCACATTTAGAAGAATGCTGAGAAATAAGGTCCAAGAAATGTCCCTTTCTCTCATTCTTATGTTTGGTTATGAAGTATTAGGAATCAAAAGTTAATTAAGCTTTCTAATAATACCCTTTATTTTTTATTTAAAACTATGAACAAAAAGTGGTATTTAAAAATTTAAAATATGGATAATTTAGTGCAAAAAAAGTGTATTAAATGTTTTTCCACATTAGGGAAAAAGATTCCCAAGGAGAGCCAAGGGTAAGAAATTTCCCCCTACATGGGAAGTTCATACTCACGGCTCAAGTTTTGCATTTCCAAGAGTGCACTTACCAAACATGAGATAACATGAGATGAGGAGAAATCCTCAGGGGTTTAGCTACACGGCAATCTACATTGGTTTGGTGGGAGATGCAGGCAGACAAGTGGTGTGATATCTAATTTAGATATGGGGACCATGAATTTGTGTGGCTATAACTGAGTAAGAATGTGAGATTGAGATTCTTGATTGATGCTAGAAAGATTACTAGGAAATTGCATATCACATAAATAGTCAATTGCTAGATTACCAGGCATAAAGTTGAAAGCTTTCAGAATCGAACAATACACAGCACAACGCCAAAATGCCAACCAAGACAAACACTTTCTATTAGATTGTTCATCTCAATATTCTCAAAGACTCAAACAGACTCCAAATCCAAAACCCAAAAATCCCCCATCTAATGCTCACCACACAATTACATTACACACTCCCATTTCATCTAAACCCTAATCTTCAACCCATGTCAATTTTTACCGCCGCTGACCCCTCCCGTCTGCGCCGCCTTCTTTGCCGCCTTTTCTTGAAGCGCTTTGGCGTCCCTAAACAGAAATTTAGCAAAAAATTGAAAAACACCCCAATTCAGAGTTGAAACAAGGAAATTGAAAATAAAAGGCTTGAGATTGAGAGAAAATTCATACCTTTGTCGGCGTTGTTCGGGGATTAATCCATCGTTTTTGGGCTGCTTGGATTTCCCGCCAGATCTGGCTTGAGCCCTTTCACGGTCTCGCTCTCTCTGGCTTCCGCGTTCGCTTCAGTTAAGCCAAACAAACACACAAGTATCACAAACAAAACCACTCTCTTCTTCCCCTCTCAAACCCTGATCTAATTTCCACAATAACTCGTTTGGTTGCCGAGAAAACGCGCTTCAAAACATCAATTTCAATACTTTAACAACAAAAATCAGAGATCGAGAGCAAAATATCTGATCTTTGGTGATTTTCATCGCGTTTCTCGGCAACCAAACAAGGCAAAATAGTTAAGACTAAGAAAAATTAATAGAGGGAAGAAACAGATCCGAATTGCAAGGATATGGGACATTATTGAATTGTGCGAGTGAAGCTGAAACAGCCAAACAAGATCACAAACACAATAAACCCCTGCAACTTCACAGAGTCAAATCAAGCAACGATCAATAAGCGATTTCGTCAAATCAAAACCAGAGATTTCGAGACGAGAAAGATCAAAGAAAGGGAAATTTTGAAAATACCTGATCTATGCGCTGAGCTCGAAAAGAGCGAGAGACTGAAGAAACCTCTTGTTTGACGTCGCGTCCGAGGAGAGCTGATGACTTAAAAGGACGAGCTGTTGCGAACCAAACAATCCATGGAAGTCTCGAGAAGCCGCGGTTTTTCTAATTTCCACAATAAATTAAATTTTTTAGTTGAGTGCTTATCTGGCATTTCTTTTCTTCGTTTCTTTTTCTTGGCAATTTTAATTTGGGCTACATTTTTATGGGCCTCAGATACAAGGCAGGCCCAGATCAACTTTCAATTTGAACTTACATTTTATTTCATTTGAGAAATTCTACATGAACCCAAAAGTGCGATTGGTACATTTATGATTTAAGATATTTTTACGAGTGCAAGAGCTTATAGTTGAAGTGGCTGTGAGCATTCGTATTTGAATGCGAAGTTGTATGTTCAATTTCCTCTTACATCAATTCAATAACATTCACTCTTATAGTTAGAGATTGCGTGTTCGATTCTTCCCTCTCCTATTTACTTTTATTTAAAATACATAAGTAATAACATTTATATCCCATTATAAAATGTGCTTTACTAACATGAACTATAAAAGATATGTTAGCTTCTCCCACCATCACCCCTTCCCTCTTGCCGCCCTACCGGCGGCTTTCTTCTCTCGACTTCGGTGGTTCCCTTTCTTTCCACTCCGACTACTTCTCCCCTCTCTCATCAACACTATCATCTTCTCTCTCTCTTTTTTATTCTTTTATTAGTCCTCCTTTCAAGAAGGAAAATGACGTTGGTAGGCCATGTCTTTAATTTTTCATTTTTTTATAGTGACAGAGTATTTAAAGTAGTAGTGGTCACTGGTCACACATGTGAAGTCATCAATTGCAGATAAAGAGAAATTAAATATCAACCTACCTATATTAAAAATGTATATTTGCATCGTAGATTTTAGATTAAGATGGCTGCAAGTCTTCTTTTAATTCTGTTTAGATCTTATTTGTGTTCATGAGCTGATGGGCGGGTGGAACTAATAATTCTGTTTTGTTTGCAACTTGGTAGTCGTTATCTCTTAATTCATAACAATATTGCAACCTCAACCACTCTCACCTTCGAAACAAATTCCCACCAAAAACTTTCCAAACAACCGTATTAAATTAGCAGCATTAATTATTTTTTGTTTTAAAAAAAGAGAAGATCAATGACGGTCCAAGTTTCACTTTTTACGCTCTTTTGCAAGACGAACATAATACGAGAAGTGTATAAGGTAATTTAAAGGTGATTTTGAAACGCCAAAATCGTGACCCAATTTATTAATCCACGTCATTGTCATGAGAGAAAAATTCCATATGGTTTTTTGTTTTTATAATGAATAAAAAATGTTAATTTAGGGTGTCTGCAATTTATGTTCTACTTTAACAAAGCATCCCACCTCCACCACTCATCACATATGAACAAAAGTGAAAGGCTAGTCTATGTTGTCCTTACTCCTTAGTTAATGTTCCATACTTTGTCTTCCAACACATGCCATGCTCAAGTCCTAATCTCTCTTTTGACTTTTCTGTTCTCTTTTTCCTCCTTTGTCTCTGTTTTTATGCAAATTTTACATTAGACATCCAAATGCCATTTCATCGATCCTAATCAATAATAAAAAGCAAAAGAAAATCTAATCCATAAAAATATTTTTAATCTTCCGAAAAACGTCACTTTGTTCTTTCTTTTTACTATCAAGTTATTGCATTGCACGATGTGAATATGTATATAGAGCAATTAATTTTTTTTAATCCATATCATATATACATTTGCTCTTTATATATCTTTTCACGTGAAACATTCGACAAACGTATAATATATGGTGAGCATGTAATTGAAGTATATCACAATATATTCCCGCAATTAAGGGGGAAGCGGGGACCCTATTGCTTCCCATAAGACTCGTTCCGCTGCCAAAACACCCCAAAAAAAAAAAAAAAAAAAAAAAAAAAACCTAACCTCTTATTTTCCTCCTACAATTTGAGAGCTAAAATCGGAAAATACAAAAACCAAACAAAAAGAACACACACAGGGATCCATCGACCACCAACCATTCAACTAACTGGGCTTAAAAGAAAGAAACAAAGAAGGAAACAAAAACACAAACAATCAGACCCACCACCATTGCCAATTTTCCGATCCATCTGCTAGCTTTTGCCTTTTGGTGCGTGCCATGTTCTCTCTCTCTTATCTTATCTTTTCTTCTTTTCTTAATTTTTTATATAATGTAATTACTGTTCTTTTTTCTTTTGCTGCTTTCCCTCATCATATTCATATGCATGTTCGAATGTTTCTCTCTCTCTCTCTGAGGTAATCAACTTTTCTTCCTCTTTTTTACAGAGGAGAGATAAAAATAAAATAATTGAAAGCTGGCGGGGTCATCGTTTCTGACGGTACCAACGGTCACGGGACGTAAGGTATCCCACGCCATTTTTAGCTCCTCCCTCAAATTATCAAAACTCAATATAATTGTAAACTCGAACGTTTTACACTTGAATGCGTACATAACTTATTTTCTCCAGTGTAAGATGAAATTTGTGGGATTAATGCAGAATGTGTGTGTCCTTTCGATTGACATATAAGTATGAGTCGACGTACACTTACATCTTGCATTAATCCCACAACCATCTTATGTAAGTGATTGATGATTTACGGTGTTAAAGAGTTGCCAATTTATTGTCTATATAGTTTGTTGGACTATTCACTTTCGTTTATGAGGTTTCAATTCAGGTGATTTGATCCTTGTAGTTTGATATCCATTGCAATTTAAAGATTTGTCCAAATTTCCTCCCAATTTATTGATGAAACAATCATGTGTCACTTACATGGTGTAAGAGTATTTTGGACGAAATTTTGAATGGAAATTTCGATGTATCATTGAATTGAGATATAATCAAACTACAATAATCAAATTGCCAAAAATTAAAACTAGATAGACCAACAATAACTTCTTCACAAAATGTTAATGCTTTTTTTTTTTTGCTTAAATGCCCTCAGAAGGGGTATATGTCAACATAAAAGAATTGCAGTCATAAAGAATGATAGATCCAACCAAGGTGGTTGGTGTGAGTGGTTCGGCACTCTCATTCCTTAAGAGAGGTCAGGGGTTCGATCCCTGCTCTCGTATGGAGTCACCACTTTGGCCAGCACTTTACTCCTTACGGGCCGACCCGGTGTGAACGGGGATTAGTCTGGGTTGTGGTTAAGGCTTAAAGGTGCCATCCATAGTTGGAGCCCATCCAGGACCACCTCGTGGTTCAGACCAAAAAAAGAAAAAAGAAAAAAAAAGAATGATAGATCCATTTTAGTAGCCGTTTCACATTTCCAAGAAATCTAAAATCACATAAACCAAGCAAAACAAAAGGATGATTCCGATCCTTGAAATCCTCCAATAGAAATTCATCATTTTCTTTTGTCTGTATTTGTTTTTGCTGTCATGGAAGGTCGCCGGAGGCTAACGCTTCTCGATCAGATGTCAGCAAGTGGGAACGGGAGAGACTTAGCTGGTTTAAGCCTGGACGACGTGTTGCTGGCCCCTGCAGCCAAACAGCCACCTCCAGCTCCTGCCCTGCCCCCAACCATCTCGGGTCGGACTTTGCTCGATATAATCCGAGACGAGGAACCCAAGTCCTACCGGGCCCTGATTGGCAAGAAGGATAAGAAAGCCTGGAAGTCGTTTAAAGACCGCCTCCGCCTAAAACGCGCCGGCTCTGCTTGGGCCTCCTCCGTCCGTGTCCCCACTTCGGATCTCCCTATCCGGAATAACACTGTTCACGGTTCCAATCACCAACATCTTCACCTTCACCTGAGATCGCGTCGCAGCTCAGTGAGATACGTTACGCCCGAGACAAATCTCGACATGGTTCAGCAAGTAGACGAGAGCAATTCCGCGGGAATGCGGCAGATTTCGCGCCGGAGCTCGACCCGGTTCGGCCCGAACGCGTCGATCCCGTCCGACGAGCCCGGTTCGGACAGTTCGGGTCAGAACGCG